AATGCAAAAACACATGCCCATTCAAAGTAACCTGCGGATGAGCCACACACGTCACTGGCAAGTTCATATCAAAATCATACTGTGACATATTTTCAAAATGCATCTCAAGGGAATCCACGTGTTGCGTGAATACGCCGCGGTCCAGATATTCTGGCTACCCTTCAACTTCACAGAATCACGTTTATTTTGGTTGTTGCACACGAAGTCCAAGATGGCGCCCGAGTAGGCAGCCGTCGGCAAGTGCTCTCATGAGCCTTGCTTTTTTTGTTGTTTTTCTGTTTGTTTTGTCACTTTGTGTTTGTTGTTACGTCGTGTAGACCTGATGTGGACTGTTTTCAGCATTTTTTGGCCACGACATTCATCAAGGGGGAGACTCTGTGCTTGGTGGTTGCGCCTTCTCGGCAGCACGTGTATGCCAGCACTGTTTTTGATTGGGAGGAATGTCGGCGCCATTTGACTGTCGTTGCTGGACAGCTCCGGGGCGCTTGTGTCTTGCGCCTGTAATGGGCAGCATTTTCACAGCCCCGCTTTGTTCAGCGGAAGGGTCGGTGCTGTTGGGCATTCTGCGGCTGGATGGATGCAAGGCTTGAGGAGCCGACAATGAGAAGAAAGGAGCGTTAGCGCAGAGCGCCGATGCGGATGTGGAACCGCGAGTCGCGGCTTGGGGTTGAAGCGGATTACGTGGGACAGGAGAAGTGAACTAATCTCTTTTTGTCAATGGACGCTACAGCTTCGTGTTTGCTTTCAAAACTTCGCTTGTAGCAGACATGTGCACATTTTCAGCATGACGTCTCTGATCCACTGGTAAAAGGACACTTTGATCCTCTCCTCTTTCATCTATAACTGCTTCAGCCAACAAAGTGTATGCAGGAAAGTGGTGAAGATCGGTGTTGTGTTGTGTTATTTTTGTTATTTTGACTTCAAGATGGCGCTGTGAGAGTGGCTGTCCTTTCCAGCAGCTCCTATATTTTGTTCTACTTCTTCCTTTCATAACTTTGCTGCTATGAATTGGGAATTTCTCCATTGCGAGACTAATAAAGGTTTTCTTATCTTATCATTTTTCCAGGTTTCCATGTTGGGTGTGTCAGAAGTCTGGACAGGAAAATCGCAGCACGATGAAAGTGCGCAAGAAAGGCGTGTAAGAAATTGACTTAAGCGCGTAGGGTTGAATATGCTCCTAGATGCATAACATTCAAGAAATCTATACTCATATCACCCTAGCTAGTGCAGCTTTAGAGTTTTAGTCTCAACCTTTGCTTCACTTCTTAATCTTGCATCCCTGTGAGGTCTCTGCCTCGATGTCCTTCAAGTCTATACAACAGCAATAGGAAGGAGAAATGGGAGGCTGTAGTCAGTAAAGGTCAGCCCAGCCTACGCGAATAAAGGAATTTCTGAAAGGCTGCTGGAATGAGGTGCATTTTGTGCTGCTGCTGCTTTATACCGTCGCTCATACCCGTCTAGTATATATATAATTGACATTATGGTATCATGGGAAAATATGTTACTTCCAAAGGTTTTTATATATATATATATATATA